CTCCCGGTCCAGGGCGAGAGTCCGGCAGGTGCGGATCCAGGAGCTGGGAGGTGAAAGCGCCAGACTGGATCACACGCGGCATAGTTGTGATTGTATCAAAGTGTTTTATGCGAAATGAGCTAAGGCCTCTGTCCCCACGGAACGCCATCGTGCAAGAGGACCAACGCTTGTTATAGTGTTTTCTTATCATTATTTGAACTGGGGTCAGCTGCGCTGGTGACTGTACTGGGCTTACAGAGAGCATGTTACAAGGACTACTCCGCGCGGTTGTAAAACAAGTGCGTCGTCGAGAATGAATGAGAGGCCGGATGAATGGGATAGTGGGGCTGGCGGCTGCGCTGGCGCTGGCACATGTGTTCCAGTCAGCTGACCGCAGGCTCTGCCGGGCTCTGCCGGGTGGGCCTAGTTCCCAGAACAAGTGCGGAACTTTGGCGGCGAGCTGCACATACATGCGGGGGTGGGGCCCGCTAGGGCCGGAGCAAGCAATTTGTCGCTTCTGGATAAGACGCAGAGTTTCCGGTCCAGCCGGCGAAACCGTTTTCGACCGGAACTCGCACGCGCCCCCACGCCGTCTGCCGCCGGTCTTTTTTCCGGGATCCGTCCGGAAGCTGGGGCACTCGCGCGGCGCGCCGGCTGTCCTGGACCGCTTGGTTCTCCCCGACCACGCGCTAAGTGGACAGCTGGAGGAAAGTGTAGCGTACGAAAGTGGCGTATGTCAAGGACAGTTTGACGCAAAATTGGATGGTCTTTTATTGCAAGATGTAAGAAGCAGCTCAATGATTCCCTCCCTCCCTCTCTCTCCCTCTCTCTCTCCCTCTCTCTCTCTCTCCCTCTCTCTCTCTCTCCCTCTCTCTGCACCCCCCTCTCTCTGCACCCCCCTCTCTCTCCGCACCCCCCTCTCTCCCCCCCTCTCTGTCCCTCTACTACTTCATACCACGAAGAGGATTTATGCATTTTATTCTTACTTTACTGCTTTCATAAATTATTTATCGCCCTTGTAGCATGTGCGGCGTATATGCACGGAAAAACGGCCTAACACCGAGGATTATACCAATGAAACAGCAGGAACCGCTGGATGTACTCTGGAAAAACGTATCGAAAAATGACTTTGAAACGAAACGACCAACAATTTTAATCATTTTGCTCATCGTCATTTTCCTTCCTGATATTTACAATTAATTTTACATTGTTTTAATTTTTCTTTGTTGAATCTCAACACTGACCATCTAACGATGCCAATCAGTCTTCAATTTCAACATAGCACTGTAATACTACACAATTTAGTACGGTATTACGGTACATTCTGGGTCGTACATAAAAATTCCCGAAAAACTTACTTGCCTAAAGGTATTTTTTTATTGTTATTTCCAGTTAGTATAGGTGCAAAATTTCAAGTCTTAATCTTCTGTCTATCAACAATGAGAGCCCGCTCATACACCATTCTCCTACATCTATCCTTGTCTCTCTCTGTCGTACAGCCTCCCGAGAGTCTCCCTCCCGCTCCCGCAATGCTTCACGCAAAGTCAGATTGCGTGTCCTTTTAAAGGAGAGGCCATTCATTCATGTATTCCAGCAGTTTGGGGGGGACTGGTCGCTTACACGCACACACGGGCTGGAGAGCACATCCTGTTTCACATGTTTGATAAGATAGAGCGTCTCATAAGGCCCCATCACTCTCTGGGGACATTTCTATCGCCAGAAACCGCTCGCGACCCGGCTCGCGCAGACACGGCGCTGACACGGATGAACACGGCAATAACAGTAAGGCGGCGAATAACAATCGTTAGGGATCGTTCGCCTTGCGTTGAGGTCTCCGACTGAATCAGAAACGTTTTGGCTCCCTCTGCGAACGTATCCCAATTTGCTACTCTTAAATTTATAACTATTCCATATGGTTTGCATATATTTTTGATTTGTAATCGTGGCGTGGCTTACCAGTGTGTTTATTTTACGCCAATAAATTGTGCTATTTAAACGGAACCTGATGCAATCAGGAACTTGAGATTGTAAACAGTTTATTTTTTTTATTCCGAAATGCATCTTCCCCTAAGGTCCGCGGTGGCACCGGCCGTCTCGTACGTTACACGCACCGCTAACCCGATGTTACGTGATTCTTGAACGATTCGTGTCGTCCCTCCCGGCGGCGCTAGCGGATGTTGTCATGCTCCCGGGCCGAGGTCTTTTCGGCTGTTATTCGAGAAGTCACTAAGGCCCATGCCGACCATTCCCCCTCACCTCCGAGCCGTTCCTGTTGCTTGTGTTGTAAATTGGAAGGCAGCAGGGCTGCTGTCGGCCCTGTTGCTCCGCCATTTTTAAATAACCCGAAAAGAGTTGAGCTCAGTCATCCAAACAAGAGGGGAACGGTGCGGCCGATTGATCTTTCTGTGTTTGGTACTTGAATTCCGTTGACATTTTACAATCATTAAAATCGTCTCAAAATTTGTTAAAGATCGAAGTATTCATGTAACGAATCACTATCGCATTAAATTTGAAGGTTTTCACCCGTTTGCCCTCTGTCTCCCATAGTGCAGTTCTTCCCAATTAATTAATTCTTGTCTAATTGTATAAGTACTACTGGAAGATTCGTTTTCTTTGCATTTGTACATGACTGGTGTGTGTGCGAGAGCGTTGGAAGAGAGGGGGGAGGGGGGCATGAGATCCAATGCGCGTGTGTGGGAACAGCATCAGCTGTTTTTGGAAGACCCTCTGCGTCGGCACATAACTTGGCGCTAAATAAATAGCAAGTGACAATCTTCTGCATGCGGCGTGAGAGAGAGAGAGAGAGAGAGAGAGAGAGAGAGAGAGAGGGAAAGAGAGAAGGTGAGACAAAGAAGGAGCGTAAGACAGAGAGGAGTCCTCACGGGTTCCAGTCAATATGCCGTACAGCTGGATGAGCCGCCCGCCCTTGGCGCAGCCTCTCTCTCTCTCTCACACATACACACACACACCCACTCTGTGCTTTCTCGGAAAGTGTTTGGTGCTGCATTCCTGCCTAGGGCAGTACGTTTGTCGAGCAAAAACTAACTGGTTAGGGGGTGTGAATAAGCCCTTCGCTCCTGCCCCTCCCCTTCTTCGTTGCGCTGCAGTCCTCATGCTGTGGTCAGCGTCAGCAGGCGGAGTGGCCAGTGCCCATGACGCGTTCCTGAGATGCTGACGGTCGAAGATGGGGTTGACAGAATGTTGGGCCAATATAGAGGCCTCGTGGTTAGTCAAGATTCAAATCACACCCGGGACACCCGCTTGGCTCTGACCTCTGACACCTACAGTAGGCCTCTGGTTCGACACGGTAAAAACGACATCTTGGTTTTCATGTCGTCCATGATGTCTTATGGAAGAAATGCATGGGAAACGTCATGGTTTTCCAAACGTCATGAAAACCAGGACGTCGTTTTTACCATGGACATTATCCGACATGGGGCGCTGGGGCGCCAGCGCTATGTGGTGCGCAGCCGGAGCCGGGCGGATGTGGAGTCTGTTGCTCTTGGTGACTCATCTTCCCAAGAGACGGACTGCCCTGAATGCGCTGATCGGGCGGAACACTATTATAGGAATGTTGTCAACAGGGGAAGGTCTATCAAGTTCGTACCCTCAACCCTTTCGTCTCTCTCTCTCTCCCCCTCCTCCCTCTCCCTCCC